AATAGACGTAGATTTCCTCGCGATTGTACTTAATGTACTCTACATTGAAACCTTACGCGGTAATTTTAACCAAACCTTTTGGGTTTGTGTTATCACGAGAAACAGTTCCGCGACTTTGAGGCCAAACACATGGGGGTTCAAAGGAGGACGTGGCCGCGCGCATCGAGGCGGACACGCGACTCAAGATAGAAGAGATGAATCAGGCTGTTTCCGTACATAAAAAGCCGGTCATGCTTAAAATTTTGGACTTGGTGTATATGGTATTTAAATAACATATCTCCAAGTTGCGATAAACAAATTCGCTACACTGAGAAAAATTTTCATCGGATAAACCAATGAAACAGTGTTTCCGATGGTTAATTTTTCCGATTACGTTTTCCGACTAAATTATGGATACATCCGATAAAATTTATCCGTTGAAATGCTGTTATCCGATGAAATTTGTTTGCAAAACCGATCACATATTTCATCGGATATACAATGTAATCGGATATATCCGTTTGTTGTTATGTAATTGGATTATCCAATTATATTTAATCGGACATTTTTCTCAGTGTACAAATTTATTATGCGTGGAAAAGATTAAGAGAAACATGGAATGTACGTAACCCAGGTAGAACATCCAACTTCTAATGACATCACGATGACGTTATTATGACTTTCTTCCTTTAATAGTTACAACGTCATTGATGCCATCGTGGATCCAATGTTCTACCTGGGATACATCAATAGACACCTCGATTTTTTTCTTCCAAAAGACGTTATCGTCAGCAAAAATATATCAATGCCGGAATCTTTCTCCCAATGTCAATAACGGGAGACAATCTGTTTATTCACAAGACAACTCGTAACGGAGTTGCTGCGGTTTGCGAAGTGAATTAGAGCTATTTTGCCGAGCGTCATTTCTTCTCGTTAGCGCAGCTGCGCCGGCTGAATAAGTTCTGTCCGCGGGAGAAAATCGAAATTGTCGCGGAATAGCGTTAGTAATAGCATAAACGTCAACCGTGGCAGTCTCGCGTCATCCTGCCTGTAAAACGGACAATGCGTAGCGACAAGCGCACAGCCGCAGCGCGAAACAATCGAAATGTCGCGCGCAACAATGCGAGACGTGCGCGGACAATATATTCACGTTCGCGCAAACGGTAGTTACAGTTACAAGTCTATATAGAAGACACTCGCTTCGAAATCACGGCCATTCATCCTCCAATATCAGCATGTTACGCATTTTAACTTTGATTCTCTTCCTACGCCTGCCTTCCGCCTCGCTGTCAACGGAAGTAACGTCGTACGCGAAGGTATCGCGGAACGGACAGCCAGGAAGAAGCTCGCAGGATTCTTTTTCGTGGATCACCAGGTGCGTAATGTCGAGATTGATTTTACGCCGGTGTAGTAACTGCCGGTGGCTAGTCGACAATGTCCCTGAGATATTCTGCGTAAGAAAATGTGAGAAATGTGTCTGTGCACCTTAGGCCCGTAGCGAGAAACAGCACGATCGTGGAGAACGAAAGTAGGAGTATAAATGACGTTGTTATCACAGCATCGCCCGTGTACGTTCCGCCGAGAACGCCGAAACTGAAGAAAGGCGAGGCGATCGATCATCCAGTCGGCCCGAGGTAAATTCAGACGTTGAGATGTAGCGGCGAGCGCGTATCGATAGTTATTATCATCAACGGCCAGTTGTGTCTGTATACAGATATTCGACGCTGGATCGTGAAATGATAGCCAAGTTGGACGCGGATAAAAAGCGAATTCAACAGCGATTTAATCCACCTGCGGCTGGACTCTTCGACAAAGACCCTGTTGTTCAGGCGAGCGCGAGGCCGCAGAAAGGAGCGAGCGCGTTGGACGCGGCAAGCTCTTCAATGTACTCGTCAAGTATAAACTCGTCCGCTTTCCTGGGTCCGATCTTCCCTGGCATATACGAATACAGCCCGATGGGCCCAGTCCTGGACGACGAATCGCCGATGTCCAAACCAATAATCAGTAAATACCCACCTGCACCCATGGACATGGATGATAAGGTACGTTTAAAATATTTCATCGTTCGCCTCCGCTAAAAGAATAAATTACTCCTCTCATTGCTCCTCTTTCAAACATGCAAACGAGATCTCACATTCGAGTCTCATCGCGCAGATTCCGGATTCCTACAAACCGCCGCCGAACAAATATCACATCAGCGACGAGCACGAAACGGACTATCCTAGTTTCGAGATAGCTTCTTCCTATGAGAACACCGGACCATCGAAACCCGTGAAATTTGCGAACCATCACGATCATCCGCCTCCGTTCGTAGAGGATCCGTACGAACACGATCACCATGATTTTCATCACGATGTGATCTACGACCACATACCTGTTTACCACGAGCACCATCCCAAGACCACGACGGAAGAGCCGGAAATGAACGACCAGCGACTCGACAAGAGGCCCTACTCGTATTATTTTATAGGAAAGAAGCTCTGGTACATACCGCTGTACTTCAGCATCTATTTCATCATATATATTGCGGCGCTCGTACTGAAGAGCGTCGCTCGACACAAGATCAATTTTCCGGCTCACCTGGCGGATGCCGCGACTCATCGTAGAAGACGCGAATCTAGCGAAGGATGGTGGCATTTTACCGAAAGTATACTTGAAGGGTTGGAACAATTCGCGGAAGCATCTGGTAACAGTTCTGAACGTCTAGCGAATTACCGCTGAAAAAATCTCGGCGTACTTTTAATAATAGCTATTCTCGTTTGCCGCTCGAATATTTTTGGATACAGACGATACAAAAGATTAGGTGTAAAGGTTCATGATGTGTAAAATATCGTTAAGAACGTTTACCATTTACAATAATTATTTCTAAGATATACATTATTTATGTATGATTCATGATATCTTAGATAAGATAATTACGTTAACTTATATATAATATAATTATATAAAAGTTATATATCATGTAGGCTTAAATAAATTACATTAAAAAGTGCGTTCCTAGCTGCGATAATCGTTTTCATTGTCTGCATTTAGTTTTGCTGCAATCCGATTTTATTCCGATTCTATTCGTGCTAACCAATTACAAATAAACACAGTGTTTACGACAATGATATCGATGAATTTACTTGTTACCATAAGGATGCATTTCACGAATGTAAATCTGCTTCCCAGATTCTTACGAAGAAAAATTAAATAATCTAAAACACTGGACTTTCGAAATCGTTTTAGTTCTGCAATTTCTGAATTACTGATTCTTGATGGAATAAATCGTCCGAGGTTTTTATTTGAATTTCCGTAACCGGAAATTATGTGCCGCGTCAGAATTTTCAATTATGTTACGAAGATAATTTATAGGAGATGGTTATATACAGCTCTATAAAGGAAGAAACGTTAACAGAGAGGCATGCTGTAATTATCGTTGATTTAGAATATCGTTTCAACGGGACCGACGTAAAAGTATGCTAATGACTTAACGAGAGATCAGTCCAGTTACAGCAGAAACGTCTCTCTGCTTACAATTAGCTTCCCGTTTAATACTAAACGATAAAACACAGTCTGACTTATTTTTCGGTGAATTTTATTGGAACGTTTGAATTAAATGTATATCGAGTGGCACATGGCAGCTTAAACAATAATAATTTTAGAAATCGCCACGCTTAAAAGATAACATCGACGCGTCGCTTATAGGCGATCAATGAGGCTCGGGTGCTACTGAACGTTTCGACGGAATCGGCTTGTAAGCGACGATGCGAAGGATCTGTAACAATTAGAGTAATTAGCGCTTAGGGATTTGTGTGTACTTAACGTTACCGTCGATACAGTTACCGTTGCGCGAATGCCGGACGAAGCTGCTATTGAAACTAGGTCCAACAATCGCATTCAGTACCTCAGACGACCAAAGGTTGTTTTTCACTTGGAGACTTTCCTGCTGTGCTACTGCCAAATAACGAGCTTTTACTACATGGAACAAAGTGTAGCGTGACAATTGTTAAAGTGGAATGGTGTCTGTCATGTGTGTGAAAAGAAGAACCGTGCAATACATCTTGAAGATTAACATGGGTCAGTATTACTTTGCATTAAGGAGATACGAATCGTCGTGTACGAGTCCAGACAAATTTCGCAGAGTGTCTGCTACAAATTTTGTTGGCTGGTACAACGCCAACAGAAATATAACGGGAACCTGCTCATAAAATATGATAATTAACTGTGAAAACCGGAGTTTATTACTTCATAACTATTTAAAAGACGACCACGATTTAGATTTTATTTGTACGTTTAAGAAACGATAGTTTTTTTACTGGCAATTTACTGTCGGGTTATATTGGCAGATTCTGCTGAAATACAAGTTTAATGCGGACGTAGTTGACGTCAGTCTGCTGCCACATTCTGCTCGAACTGGCTAGCATATTACATTTTATTTATTCGGAAACTGTACTCCAACATGTCTAACCACTGTATACCTGATTATAATTTTTATTATTATATATGTGAATAATATTTTAATTTCACAGGTTCAATAAACAGTCGATTAGTCAAGTTTGTTTTGTTATCGATTTGCATTTATCATGTCTCTGGTGAAATGAGTATGGAAAATGCAGAAGGATCGATCTCGAAAGCAGGGACATCCAGAGAAAATCGTGAGCTGGCTACGATTCCGCAGTTTATCAGGTAAATATGTGAATTCAATTATTCATTGATCTTAGCGACCATTTAATGAATAAACTTAATTCGATATCAGGATAGAATTTTATCTATAAGTTTGTACGTCGTTTATTTTAATATGTGCGTGTATTTTAATATATGAATATTCTTTACATATGTATACTCTGATCCTTTAATCCTTTTTCTAATATACATAAAATTACAAACATGGTACTATTGTGTAAATTCTAACGTGGAGTTTAGAGCTGAAGAGGGTTTCACTGTAATCGCTTCTAATGTCAATTTTAAAAGCAATATAAAAGTCCAATTTTTTTAAATATTTGACATATAAAGAAATATAAAGCGGAAGATTAAATCGACATGAATTTGATCAGTTGACAAATCCGGTAACTTATCATCCCGCTAAGTCATTTTTTTTTTCCGTAGAAGCAGACGAAGCAGAGCGTACAGGTGGGATTATAATAGAGGTGATAACGCCGACCACGAAAACGACGATCACGACGAGGATATGAATGGCGACGAGAACGATCAGACGAAGGCGATGGATGAACCTAAGGCTGATTACTGGGCCGGCTATTACGATTTTCTGATAAATGAAGGGAGCTACAAATTCTGGGCCGTTTTTCAGGTAATTGTTAACAATTAATCTTAACCACCTGATTTCTGTAATGGCGCGTAATCATATAAAATTGAATTTAAATTCGTGTTATCGTATTTGCATCAGCTCGCGACCGCAGCTCTTCTGATCTACAGCGGTTTCGCGGCTCTCTACTACGCCAAAGTAAATCCGCCGACCACGGACGATTATTTCGACGATATACTCCGCCGGCGACGACGACGACGAAGAAGACGCTCGCTTCCGCTCGCGGCCCGCGACAGGCCCTTCGTCGGACTCGATACCGTCACGTTTCAGAGGATAATCGAGGCTGCTGAACGAGCACGTTGATTTTCGTTTCGAACGCTTCCTTAAGAAAGAAAAAGTACACCATACGCGGTAAATAAAAAGTAAACAACAAGCGGTCAAGTACACTGAGGCATTTTAATGGGATGAGTCTTTGGAAGTGTTTATCGAGGGGAGACGACACGAGATGCGAAAATGCAATCAGTCCCCTGTTTCCTGGAAACTGAGTGATTGCTTTTAATTAGCATAGAACTACTGAGCATGATATAACACTTATACGTATAAGAAATGTTTGCGATTAATTTCGAAAATTATTAAATTAACAGTGTATATAACGCAGAGTGCAATGTGTGCATGTGCATGTATGTTCATATTAATCCATAATTTCGATACAAACACATTTTTATAGAGATATTAAGAATAGGATACGTATAAAATTAAAGAGAAAATTGGGAAGATTAAGATAGTCCATGTTGCTACGCTAGCAAACATCCCTAATAGCACCGAAAGGTATGGTTTTTAAATTCTCGTAAATTATAATGAAATTAATTATTTTTCCATCCTATTTTTGTTCTAAAAATATTTTTAAGATTTCAGAAAGAATTTGCTTTTATGTTGCCAATTCTGAGCTCTTTGTTCCGGCACTACCGGAAATGATTTTATTTTGAATTTATTTTGAACAGATTACGCAAATACATGAAGAATTAAAAATAAGCGATTCTTTTTTAAGTTCATAATCGCCTGTGCTATTTGGGATCGGTCGTTTCGAAAGTTGATCAAACAATTCGGCGACAACTCGAGTGTCACATTCTCGGGCCCGGTCGAAGGAAACAAGCCCTGGGGCTGGGCTGGTCGCGGCGGACAGCTCGGTAGTTAAGTGTATGCGCTATGGGGTCAAAACGTAATAAAAAATCTCCCGAAAAAATGTCAATCGATAAATCAGGTATGACACAGCGGCGATGGTCGTGCGACGCGATACGATGCCACGCGATACTGCCCCTTCTCTCTCATTCTTTATATATGCATATATATTTTATACTAGCTATATTCATATATATACAAGTAATATTTACACATATATACACACGTTGAATCTCGAATTTTCTTGTCAAACAAAGAAAGGAGCAATATAGCGAGGAGCCTTCGAGAGTCTTCCTGGATCGCACCAGCAGCATATCTATGCTGTATCGTGATCTGATAAATCGTCCGTTTAATGGATCAACGCGGCGGGACGTTCGAGCCTGGAAAGATGCGTATTTTTAAGAAAAATGATCCGGGTCTCGACGAAGGAGGAACAGGAGGAGACAAATCATCGAGGAAGACGTGAGCTGCTCCGCTCGATACGGCCCTGCCAAGATCACCCAGAGCATCTTACCGGCACGACATTCCGCCACGTAGTCAGCTGCGAGGGATACCTTAAGCGCAAGTACGGCAATCTTACCGGGGACCGGGGGACCGGATGCCGCGTCCCCGGTGCGCGGGGAGGCCCGGACGCGTCGCGGGGAACTGCCATTCCCGCGCGGCAAGGAGATCGGCGCGTGCAATCGTTCTCTTTTTTTCGGTTTCGGCAAAATTTTTACAGATAAATCTCCGACGGATGAAGGGAAACGACGGAGGATTACGCCCCGTCCGAAATCCAGACCGCGGGCGATAAAAAGTGTTATTTACAGCTCCCCGCTGTACGCCAGCACGGCCACCATCGATAATTTCCACCGGCCGTTCCTGCGCGCCGCTCCCGCGAGCGATCGGAATAATAATACGCGATAATAATAGTGTGATTAACCGACGCCGCGGACATTCCTGTTGAAAATTTTCGGGACTTCGCTCTCGAGAGATATTCGAATTGTTTGTGTGAAAACATGCATTCCAATTCTTGCAAATGTACAATCTCAGCACGTTGTTCTCGACACAACGAGATCAAGCGAACTTCCTATCATTAGCACTTCCTTGTTAGTCTTTCTATTCTTACCAGCGCGTAATAAAAATGTCATTAATTAAAGTTATATTGTAATTTTACGTATATGTAGCCGAGTAGCAAACTTGTTTGAAATTGCGACAGAACAACGTAAGGTAAGGTGTTAAACATAAATATACAGGAATTAAAAGTGCTAAGAATAGAAAGATGACATGTCTGTTTCTTTAGCGGATGTGCCTTTTCCGACTTTGTCGGAAAATTTATCATTTTCGTGCAAACAAAGTCGACTCAATTTTGTACGTTCGAAAAAAGAAAACACCGGGCTTGTGCGACGATTTTTTTTAAGGTTCGTTGCCTCCAGATAGAGACCATTATTTATAATTCGATGATAATCTTTGATCAAGAATTCTTTGCTGATCATGGTTGAGCTCCTTCCATGTTCTCTTTCTCCCTTTTTATTTTGCTTGCTTCCTCATTCGAAGCGATAACAAGCAGTAATGACACATTGGCGAGCTTAATTATGACACTGAATTATTTTCATTTTGTGGTAGAATTGTCTTACGTAACAAATTATCATTGCTTTCAATTATTCAAAATCAAGTTTTCCGACTTTAAATTCTTATGAAAAGATATTAACAAAGATAAAAATAAAAGTTTCTCTTTTTCTAAAAGATGCTGATATTATAATGAAAATTTTGCAAATTTATAATTATTTGAAAATGAACAATATAAAACAATCAAATGTCGCTAAAATCTTACAACTTGAATGCAGTCGCTTTTATGCAAGTTGTACGTTCTCGAAGATCTTTGTAATAGAAATTATAATATATGAAACTTAATTCTTTTCGACGTAACAAAATTGACTGTAACAATTTCTGAAAATATATGCACGGTTTTAACCGGTGAGATACGTTGAATGCGATTTCGCATTGTGTCCACCGTGGAAAATCACGAGACCACGAGGTTTGCTACCGTTAGCGAAATAACAACGAGATAAGACAACGGTCTCTTTAGGCGTCGTACTAATAAGGGCGCGCGCCGTCTAATGAGTAGCATTATGCAGCTCCGCCTAACATGCAAACAGTGGGGTTACGCAGAGTTGCAGAACTGTTATCCTTGTAAAATTATTATATTAACGAGATGACTAATGTGGTGGCACGTATGGTTTCATTCGCAACGCGAGTTTATATCTTTTCTAATATAAATGTGTGATTAAACATGTTTTTCGATATTACATGTTATACTATTTTCGCGACATTCACATTCATATTGTTGCGATTACTCCTATCTTTTATTGTATTGCTTACGTTGCCACTTTGAACATATAGTTTTGCTCTTTATATTATTTATTATTATAAATATAGATAAAGAGAGGGAGAAAAGAAAGGGTTTATATCATAATGATACGTAAAAACATGTTCGTAACATACTAAAATCTCTCAACGCAGCGCACACGCTAAAAGCTTTATACGAGCATTGAAATCTCCTTGCCGGTATATCGTTACAATACTCAAGTACAGTATATCCTCTCTACAATTTTTTCGCTACATATTCGAAGTGGAAAAAAAAACGTTACGGTAAAACACTTGAGTTTTCTGAGCACCCTCGACTCTTTCACACTTTTCAAGATTTGGAAAGCGCTATTCGTATCGCCCGTTTGGCGGCTCGTTTAGTCACGAACGGGGCGGTGGTTTTCACAAAGAGAGCGCGGATTTAAAATGTAAAGCACCGTAACCGTGGGAATACATAAAGCCGGCGTGGGGAATTCGTCAGGGCGACGTGTATAAGCCGAATGTATGTACTTGTATATATACGCACACTTGCGACGCGCGACGGTGAGGGACCTGGCCGAACGGGAAGAACGAAGATGAGGGACGGCGGTACCTCAAGATCTCGGATTGTCAGTTGGTGGTCAGCCGTCACGTAGGTAGGACGTGGTGGTCCCGCTTGCTTTGCCGCGCTTCACCTCGCCGCGCTTCACCTCTTCTCGCTTCGGATCGTCTCGTCTCGGTCTCGGAGGAAGCATCGCCTGCATGGACGCTTCGTACTTGTGCTCCCCTCAAGAAGTCAATAGACACGATATGACTTACACCAGGCTGGCTACCGGTGGTGCGGGTCAATAACTTGGCCATCTGAGTGGAGTAAAATATTTTTTCAGTAGCTAAACATTATGAGCTACCTTGGTCTAATGATGCCGAACAGCAGCAGCTAGTAGATGAAGACAATCGATCGAGTGGCCCAAGTATTTTCCAACGTAGAGAGGAAACATTCCAAGTTACTCCGTATTCGCTTAACGGTATTTTCGCGGACATCGAAAATCGCATTCCTTTGTAGTCTTGGGGAACACCGTGCACGCGATTTACTTCGGACCGCCACTTGACCCATGTGCCCAAAAACGTCGATTATTGTATAATCGAAGCTGCAGAGGAGTAGGTACTGTACAAAACATCTTGATATCATCCTCGTTAGCGAATCTAGAAGTGGAGAACATAGCAGCATCTCTTTTTACAGTGAGAATGCGAAGAATGCTTTGACACGATCAGCCTCCACAGCAATTATCATCATGGTGCACCGTCGTCGAGGAATGTCATAAAAGCTGAACTCCGAATCTCGTGGGAAACAACGACATTACGAATATAATTCGATCGAGAATAAAAAGATTCAAGAATCCGGACGATGACTTCCATGTGTGGCAGCGGAAAGAATCATGCCGTGATGAGTGCCGGCGGTTATTACAGACCTTACACTTATCAGGTGAGTTCTATATCTACCATTGTTCTGACTGAGAAATATGACGGAACAAAGCCAGTTAATTTGGAACTTGACACGTTAACTCAAGTCGCATGTAACTGACCTATTTTTTGTACTCGTAATGAGTAGATTCAACTGTTATAAGATTTTTTTGCGCCATAATCTCGATAGGTACAATCACGTGTATGATAACAATATCTATTCAATAATGGAAGACAACGAGAAAACATATTTTCCTGTTCTGTCGAGCCTGTTCTTTTGCTCGCTTCACAAGTTAAGTTTATCTGATAATGTCGCGAAACACGTTTCTTTAATAAGAGTCAGCTTTTACGTTCTAAGAAAAAGAGAATCCTGCTCATTATCAACATCGAGCAAATATAATTCACTTCAATGAAATTTAACTATCGCCTTTATAAAATATCCTTTAAATATTACATTAACTGAATTAGCAAGTTATCTCGATTTCAACTGTCATTCTTCGATAGCTATGACTTTACTTATATATGAATGTGAAAAAAACGAAAGTAGCTAACTTGGCAAGTCACTTATAAAACGAATCTTGTCCGAGTTTTATTGAAGGATAAAATCGTGACCAGATAACATAGGATATAACGTGACTTTTACACATTTAAACTTTTAAGGCCTCGATCGTTAATTTTTTAAACGAGACACGCTGTTCTTTTTAAATTGAAACTAAATTTACTGCTTATAACATAAAATACAAAATAAGGTCATTTATAAGATGACTATAAAATCCAGCTTTGTACTTTTATAACGATCTGTACATATGTGATACAAGTAATCTCCCTAGTAGCACAGTGCATTGACCAAACTTTGGCTAAACATTGGCCCAATATTTGGTTGTATTGGGCCAATGTTTAGCCAATGCACCGTGCTACTAGGGCTGTAAAAAAATATGAGAATTGCAGTTTAGCGAAGCTTATTGTTAGTATATATTACAAATAATTTATTTGTAAAATTTTTCTAACAATTAGATTGAAAGAAATGAACCAATCCTTTTATAATCATCCCATACACATAGACCTTACATCACGGAAACCTTCACCTTGTCTCATATGAAAGCATTATATAATTTTATCAAGAAACACGGTCGCGATCGTGTCAAGTTCACGCGCAACGCCGAGACAAACCGTGTGTCTTTACATGAGACGGCAATTTGAAAGTAACTTCAGTTGTGGCATTCCAATAAGAGGGAGCGGGTCCCTTCTCTCCCACACGTACAAGAAAACGTTCATTCTTGGTCCTCCTCGTCTTTATCGTCATTTTCTTTTCCACCTTCTTTTTACTCACTAAATAGTAAATTGTAGGCTTAATCGTTACCAAGAAAACACACCTGAAAGAAAAACAAGAGCAATTGTATGTATAATTATGTGTGTGTTCCGACTTTTTGCACGCACGCACATAACTGTTCTAAGAAGCCTAAATCCCTGAGTCCCGCATTTCGCGAAACTAATAATCTGTTCTACTTTAATATACGTATGTATTTAAAACGTATTCTTGCAGTTGTAAATGAAAAGGGGTTTAGATGACTGTACGACGGTGGATTTCGCGCAGGCTAATTTCATTTGTCTGACAATCTTACGAATTGATCGCTCTCTTTCCGTCTCGTTAAGCTTTTCTTCTTTCTATGCCAAAACCCACATCCCACACCGGCGCGGCGCGGCGCCGTTCGTTTAATTGGCTGTTTAAACCCGATCGTCCGACACGTTCGCAACCCGCGCACAATGGTACCGTTATCAAGTCAACGACTGTGAGCGATAATTGCGACGATAGCGATGCATTTTACTCGCGGTAAATTATATCGCGCGGGATAACCATCCCTGATGAGATGCACCCTCGAACCGAAGAAACTGGAATCTGAACTCGAGTCGTGCAGCGGAGTCGAACGCTCAACGCATCATCAGAAGAAACGGATCTCTCACGTATTATCGATGTGTACGTGAGCACGCAACGTCTATTACGCTAACGATTACGTATAATATTCAAATTGTCGGATCGCGCGCGCACGTTTGGACCGCCGCGGAACGTCGGCCGAATGATAATTAAGTTTCCTCGAGTTAATGAGCCGCGGGGTGAGCTATGATGAAATATAGGAATTACGTGTCCAGGCACGCCTTTTTATCTACCCGCGGAGTTACTACAATAGCCGACAGTTAGGTTCATTGTACCTGGAATATGAATGTACGGCCGTAAATAAAAAATGTCCCATCATAAGAACAAAATAGTAGAAGCACTGGCAAATCAATTACGATCTGGGCGGTCTAAAATTGAGAGTCGCGACAGCATTGCGCGGAAAGAAAGATGTAGCTGAAAGCTGCATGTGACAACTAAATTTCAGTTGTAAAATATGGACAGCTAATATTTAGTTGTGATGGCTAATAGTTGTGGCAGCAAAATATTTTTAGCTACCAACCATGATTAGCTACGGTAGCGTTAATTCTTTTTGCAACGTGTACAGAAGAAAATATGCGTTTTAACCGATTCTCGAAGATCGAGGATCAATCTTAAGCTCGCGTCGTTACGTAATGGCAGCTTCGAGGATCCGTATAATAAATGACCTTGAAAACATAGAAGACGAGAGCGATAATTTGTCTGCAATTTTTCTAATCGAGTTATGTAAGCGATTGCGATCTACGGTATAGACGGAAAAGCTTTTGCCGGTTGTACCGACGTGAAATCTTGCGGAAATATCGCGAAAATATCCATATAATGGAACAAATTATAACTGTACCCTCAGAGCTCTTCCCCTCCCCCCCCCCTCCCCCCCCCCACGTCTTATTCACTCTGAGAACTTGACTTGGCAACTTTAAACGCGAGAACAACATTGCCGGTAACGTTTATAAAATACTAATGAGCGATTATAAAATAATCCAGTGATATGTATCCGCAAACAAACGAAGGAAGTTCCCATATACGTACTTCTGCTTTCAGATAATCATCGTGTACTCGGGCGAAGCTCGCGAAACTCGAGCTTTCGGTGTGGGGAAATTCCTAGCGCGAAATACGGATTAAAGTATGCGATATATAGCGCACGATTCAACCCGTGTCTAATCTATTGTTGAGATATATTTGCATATCGTAAGGACTGCGTGAGAGCGTAAGGATGACGGTACCGATAATATCTTTCCGACTAATTCGCCGACGCCCACGCCTTCAATCGATTCCTACGGCGAGGATCTCGCAGAGTCGATTCGAGACAATCCAACGTATCCGTTCTCCACTTCTTGCGCGATAACGTAATCGATATTTTTTTTTTTTCAAATACCCAAGCGTGTCAATCGTGATCTTTTGTGAATGGAGGCGTACTTCGGCGCGTATCGTCACGCACGGATAACGTAACGTGGCTCTGCGAGGCCCGGCCCTGGACAAGCGTTACGATCTGCGCGTACGAGTTCTCCAGGTACACACACGTTCCTAGGGACCCTTATTAAACCAGACAAGGACGAGAGTTGCGGGAGCGTCCTTGAAGGATCTTTGCACTCGGCAAAGCTGCCCGTACTCGCATCTTCCTCGCATCTTTTCTTCGTGTTGCCCCTACGAAGGCCGCGCATTGACTCCGTCCAGGTCATGGTACGTGGTACGGACAGTTGCGTATACCGGCACCTTCCTCAAACCATTATTCGCGAGCGCCGAGGTTGAATTTCTTAACCGTCTTCAAATGTTAGCCCTCGTATTCTGCGCCGCGCTATTAGCAGACACTTTTGCAATGTGTGCCTACCTTCTTCGTACCGCGCGTTCATCCGCGACGGGCTTGTTTCTGTCACACGCGTTCCATTGTTCTTTAACTAATTTCATCTTTGACAAACGATCAACAGTTAGCAGCCCGGGTGTCACTTCTGAAATGTCGTTATTCATAGTTAGGAAGTTTTCACAAGGCGGCGGAGGTAACAGCCTCTTCAGGAATCGCGTAGCTGTTACCACGGTTTGTGATCCACATAGTTGGATATGCTCGGCAACGTTACTTAAGTGCTGTCGAGGATTATTCTTACGGCCTGCATCTTTGTTGAAGAAGACGAGAGAGAGAGAGAGAGAATGCTTAAAAAAGAGATGTTGATGAAAGGTGACACTGAAAAGAATACACAATTGAGGCTGATAGTTTTCCTTTCGATATTTACTTCGTTATATACTTGAAGAATGAGGAGAGATACAAATATTCTTCTTACAACCATTAAAGAATAAGAAACTTAAAGTCACAGCGAACGTTTATCTGTCGAGTCGTTTTCTCATTTGTGACAGCATTTTCTGAAAGTGATTGATCGTTGATCTAGTATTGGAAAGGTAGCAATAGAATAAACGACTTCAAAGCAAGATTGCATACCACTAGCAAATGACATATTACGACGTGTCATCGCGTGTTAAGCGACTATATTTGCTTCGTGTATCATAACTTCAAATAATACCTTCAAAATTAAATACAAATTATTAAGTACCCTGGTAGCACAGTGCGTTGGTTAAATGTTGACCCAATACAAATATTGGGCCAATATTTGGTCAATGCATTGTGCTACTAGGGTATGAACTATTTGTCTTTGCGTAGCTTATATTTAAAATTCGAAACGTTGCTCTAAAGATGTGGAAAATAAATCGTGTAAATCTTTTGTGAGCGCGCAACAAATTACGCGAGAAAAATACAAATCAATGGATCGATACATTATTACCACAATGATGCTAGCGTCAAATCAGTTGCAAATCACTACAATGATGATGTGAAATCGACATGAACGAGCGTAATATAGTATCCCGAGATTATCACATCGTACAACATCGATTTTTCAAATTGATATATATAAAATATAAATTAAATAAATATATTTAAATATTAAAAATTTAGATAAAATATTAGTAATTCAATCTATTAAAAATATTTCTTTCGATAGTAACTACACAGGGGAAAAAAATGCTGTTGAATTAAGCAAAATGAAGTTGTTTGAATTAAACGTTAACGTCACGGGCTGGCACAAACATAAATAATTCACGTAAAGAACTATTTAACGCCAGTAATTGATTAAACAATGTAGAAAAATTGCATGACGACCAATGGCTGGTAAATTCTAGTTAAAGAAATTCTTTCTCTGAAGATGAGTTTTCTTTTTCTTATAAATAACTTGAGCAATAACAGCGTGTGCACAACTGCGTGGCAGAAGCAAAAATGAGAAGCAAAGGTCAAGCGGTATTTTTTACAAAATCACGACAATCTATAACTCGTAACGGTTCACGCTTGCGCTTTGTATCTGGACATCGCATTCGATACGGTCGATTTCATCGGTGCATTCGAGATATTCCACCTGTTCGAAGAGGATGCGAGGACGCGTATAAAATTTATGTCTTGCACTAATAATCCGAACGACGAATGTAAACGGGATCCATCATCATAAGTACTTAAAAATTTTGAATAACAGGAAGACAAATTGTTATTACACATTTAAAAATCGTTATTAGACGTCTATTAGCGATATAAATCACATGTGCTCCATTAAAATAACATTTTGCCATTGAGAACATTTTTTAATACGAAGATTACGTAACGCAAGCTGTGTCCACTATTGATTCGCACCTTCACAGATGAGATTAAGCACAAATGTTGTGATGTTTCAGACCACCTTGAATTAATTAACACGAAAAACTAAGACTCTTGGAGGTCGACGTATTCAACTTCGACCTCAATACTTGCTATTTTATACTTAACAGCTTCGTTTTATTTCTTATGTGCTGGTTAAAGCTTTAATGTTTATCAGAAGCAGCCGGAAATCTCGGAAGATATCACTTACAGACGCTACAAAGAGACACTCGGACCTACTTCGAGTTTTAATATGAGAGCAGTCATGCTTGAAAATGCCGACAACACTTGCGAATGGCTCGTTTATTTTACCGCTAGACGAAATATTATGAATTTTCTACGCGATCCCGTCCGGCAAGTCGAGCAGAGCTGAACGTTATTCGCTGTCTCGACACTTTGAAAATTTCTTCTTATCCATGCATTCCGTGCCGCCGGTGGTACCGTTAACGGGATTACTGTACACGCTCGCTTATATTTATCACGCACATATGTAATTCAACGATAAGTCGCGTGCCACCTGACTCGCTTCACTACAAATGTATATCAAATATAAATTAGGAACATAAAATAATTATCTCTTTACAAAAATACTGTTAATAAAATTTATAAATTATAAAATAAAAAATTTTCCAAATTTATCAATAGTTTGTCAATATCGCAGATGTGTTTATCGAAAAATAATGTTATACAACGGAGTATATCATGTTTCGTTGTGCTACTGCGATATTGACAAACTATTGATAAATTTGGAAAATCTTTTATTTTATAATTGATAAATTTTTAACAAAGCAAAAGCTTTGAGAAATAATAGTCAATAAATAATATATATCGTATTGAGATTAATGGTCTTTGTTACAGAGTGACTATTATCTACCAAGATCCACTTGGTCCAGAGTATCGGTAGCACAAAAAAATACTACATGGAGGTTTGGCAGTGCCATGTTAATTATATCCGCTATGTTAGTGTTAATCGCAGTTCTAGCGATTGCTGGATTAGCTCTATGGATGGGTGGTACGTTGAAACTGATCATCTACTAAGTTAATTAAAGTTAATTAAACTTTGTATTGTAATAAAATTTCCATATATATAATAGAAAGATTAAAAAAGTAAAAAATAGAAATAGAGCCACATTTTCACCTCCTTTTTTAATACATTCAAAATAAGTCGGATAAAAAATTACATAAAATTATTGTCAAATGTTTCAGCTTTCCGAACAGATTCTAAAAATGGTGAGTTCTTCATATTCAAATAACAATATTAAATTGCGTAATACTTTCACACCTTCACCTTTCTCGATTACAGCTATCGTCGGATTTTCATGTAGCTTCAGAATAGTGAGAGGCGAAAGGTATAATCCCATGTTAAAATTGAACACGAGCATGGTCTTCCGGGAGAAGGAACGCAAATTCAAAAATATTGTAAGTAAAATCTATTTCGTGATCATTCTGCTATGTATATGAAAAGATAGAGCCTCTTAAAAATTAATTATACTGTTATTTTCAGTTCGAGCTATTATTTAGGAGAAGCGTGCTCGGTTTATCCTACAAACAAACCATAATAGATAAGTTTGAGAATGGAACTTTGAAAGTTTTCTTCAGGTTGTACCTCGACCGAAGGAAGATACCACGCTCGATCGTAAATGTCGAGGACGCCATCCAAGATATTATTGTCAAAGAAACATACTCAATATCATCCTTGTTCAAAGATATGGAATTAGACCTCCCAACCATATTAGTGAAAAGTGAGTAATGATAAGTAGAACAGATCACTTTTAGGCAAACCGCTAGACCGCGTAGAAACGTTAGAGCGTTAAAGCGTTAAAACTTCACTGGATATCCGTACTTCTGCTGTTTTCTCACACTAAGCTCTTAAAATCTTTCATTGACTATTCTTTAACTTCATTCTTTATTTGAATTCCTATTTTTCCTTGTTACATCAAACTTTTCATCACTTTTGTTTATTCAATCATACATATTTTATTCATTCTTCTTGTTGTGCATTACATTTGTACAACAAATATAAGTGTGGTCAATTCTACATACCTACTAATTTTTAATAAAAATTCTCTCAGCGACAATATTGTGTTTTATCTATTCACAATCTAAACCAGAAGTCAGATGTCTAAATCTAATCTGCTTGTTGCTTCAAGCATTTATTTATTCTTCAAATGAAATATGACCAGTTTCAAATATTCTTTCTAAAAATTCCAGGAATAAATCAAGAAGGCATCGTAAATCAGAAACAAGGGCAGCAGAAACATACTATGATCACTAAAAATGGCTTATTACGACCAAATAGAAACAGCAGCTTGATTATGAGTTCAAAGCCAAAAACGAAACCAAGCAGAGTCGATTCCAACGAGCCCAACATAGACTTCAACAACATCCCAACCATCCAGGGTACCTATAGAGCAACGAAAGTTAATATCACCGCAGAAAATTCTACTAAAGGGACATCTGAGTCGATAAAAGATAACAAGGGATTAGCAACTACTACTAGGAGAGCGCCATCGCACACCACGACGTTACAAAAGATATCGAGTCACGGAGACTCTTCGCCAACGGAGGAGCCTTCGACGTTTTTCATGAGATCCACGACAGCTACGTTCAACAGAAATAAATCGGACGAAAAACAGGAGAGCGAAATGAAAACTACGTCTTCAGGGACTACAACGGTTCGAAGCGATTTGGACATTTTTAAAGATTTTCGTAATCCAGATTTCGAGAATAACTCACCGTGGAAACCGATCGTGCCGGGATATGTAAATACGGAATTCAAGCTGTTACCTAATGACGATGTCAAAGAAACCAGTTATACGGAATCGACCACGCGAAGAGTCGTTTCAACGACGAACGATTCCCGCGATAACGTAAGAACGCCCAACGCCGGAACCAGCACGATATCATCAACGGTGCCAGGGTTACCATTAGGCTCAGTCAATTTTCGCGACGTGTCTGCGATAAATGCCTTCGATACGGACAATACCGACTTTCCACGAGATAGAATCGTTCCAGGTTTGACAGCTAGGCCGAGCGACAACGGGAAACTGGACATTGAAGTAGCCGGACAGCTGCCTTCGGAAATGTACAGTGTCAAGCTAAAAGCCTCATCACGTAACGACGACGATAGAGTAACTTCCAGCTCTGAGATGACTCAAGTTGTTTCTGAAAATATCCCAGCCAAAGGCAATGCCTTTCAAGAGAAGCGTGGAGACTCAAACGCTACTCGAAATCCGGAAATAAAGTTTGACAATTCGGCATCGACAGTGGAGCCTGATGATATATTCGGATTACGCAGCGACGAGAGAATTGTGAACGATTCGCTCACGCACACGAGCGGTATTGGCGTGGCAGAACCTGTGTCAGACACGGAAGTCGAACTGGAAGCGAAGAATCGATACGGGGAAAGCGGTATCCCGGCGTTGACCGCAGACGAAAATATGTTGCGGAATAGGAAGATTAACGTTAATCCGCTGCAACCGATTTACACCAGTTACAATACGCCCGATTTGAACGGCGGTAGCCTCGGGTCCAGTCTGATCGAGAACATGGCAACTACGAAGCCTTTCAGACACACGATACCCGTCGACAAAATCACGTCCGTCGTAAATTATAGTATCAACGTTCCTCTTCATAACTTGAACACTCTGTCTCTTTCGGATAACGCGACCACCAATGCGAAATTGTTCCAGGATAAAGCTCTGACGCCGATACCATCAAAGACAGTCGAAGTGGAAACTTCTGTTATGGGACACGATGATGCGATGGCCCAGCTGGCAAGTTACGAGCGAGTTACGTCGCCAGACCCGAATGTCGTGCGAATCATAAAAAATGACGATAGATTGTCGCACTTTAACGTTACAGAGAGTTACTCAGAGCCAAAGCTGATCGCCAAAGATTCGGGCGGCAAGAGAGGCGTATCGAGAAATTCAACGTTCGTCGAGATCGATATTGTGAAGCACACGCCCGGCGAGTCGGAGGAAAACTCGGAGGCATACGCGGACCAGGTGATATCTGGCGACAGCGCACTGCAAAAGAAGAAAGTTTATAACGAGACTTTAAAGGCCTACGTAGTGGAGAATCTCGTGACGTTGGCACCTGTCAAGAGCAACACGGGGATCGGTAGGCCAGTACGACCGAGACCGAAGATCGACTCCCCCGACACGTCTCTTCTGGAGCAACTATTTGGAGTGCGCGATTACACGCACGACAGAGATACGGGTACCGAACCAGCTGTCTCTGAATCGTCTTCCTCCTCGCATGAGGACGAGAACTCTACGAAATCCGACGAAAAAGAATCTTTGAATCGTAAGAGCACTATAGTGGAACAGATAGTCGAAGTCGTGACCTCCATCAGCACCAGAGTATCGTCCAGCATGAAGACCGATCCGGTCATCCTGAAGTTCATCGTCACCAACTCTACCACTGATCCGGTTACTCATTCAGGGAACACTTCGACGTCCAGCGACGAGGCAACTAAATCGTTTGACTCGGCAGTCGACACAACGGAGAGGATACTCTCGTGGACCCAAAAACGGCCGATTTTATCAGCGGCGAATTTAAGGACGATGCAGACGTCGGACAGAAAAATGTCGCTCGAGGAGAACAGAGTTCTACTGGAGAAGCTCAAACAACTCGCTCAGGTCAAAACGGATGGCGATCCCGTGCGGATTATTAAAATCAACTCGAACTCGAGCGAAATGTTGCGGCCTCAGGATCTCGCGTCGCCGGTGAACATCGACCAGCTGAAAAAAATCGCCGACGTCGTGACCGGAAACGAGACCCTACAGAACGCAAGCTCGGGATCCACGTTGAGTCGCGATGGAGTGGAAATATTTACGAAAGTACTGACTAAGGAAAACCGAGCGAACGAGACACGTACAATGTCGACGATTCAAAAAGTCAGCAAGACTATCAGCAAGACTAATGGTAACTGTGCATAACAATTCAAGCGTATGTAGGCGAGTGGAAAAGTATTAGCGCGCAGAGCTTGGGTAGCTTCCGTTTCTTTTGTACAGCCGACTATTAGATTATACGGGAAATGATATAATTTTTTTCCTACCCTGCGCTATAAATAAATTTCGTACTATCACTCATGTTCGATGATATAAAATTGATAAAATATGTCAACGTTCTTTTCTTCGTTATTTTCTTACGTGTTTTCCTTCAGCGAAAGTGGATCTCACGACGGTTGATCGATATTAATAATCAAGAAACTAAAAGAAAAGAGATTATCCAGTATATTTTATTGCACTATTGAATACGTGATAAAACAGCACCTGAAAAAATTGACATATCTCGACGTATACATTTAAACGTACCGTATTTTTACAGATAGCTGCGATGGCTTCTTCTGCGGAGATGGTAAATGCTTGAACTCCAGCGCGATTTGTAACATGCTGGTAGAATGTCCGAGCGCGGAGGACGAAGCTAATTGCACGTGCGCTGACTTCCTCAAGACGAAAATGTTGTATCAAAAAATCTGCGACGGTATCGCCGATTGTTGGGATTATTCAGACGAGAGCAATTGCGGTAATCTCACTTAAATTCGGATGGTCGCGATAACCCACGTGTATTCATAAAACTAACAAGTTAAATTAGCTCCAATTGCTTTTACAAGAGCAATTATCTGAAACTTTTTTCAGCTCATTTCTTACTACTTTGACGTTATTTTGCAGATTGGTGCGAGAAAGGGCAATTCGTTTGCGGTAACAGCAAATCTTGCATTGATGTGGATAAGGTGTGCAACGGTTTTAGCGATTGTCCCGGCGGCGAAGACGAGAAGAAGTGCACCGCTCTGATAGACGACGAGCCAGAAGAAGACATTGCTAAATCGCGGATTGATCTCGCCTCGACGGAAAATGTATCGAAAAATTATTCCGAGATAGAATCTCATCTCGAGGCAATCGAATCTTCTATTATAGACACGACTACTTTATATGTTCTCCCTGATGATCTCAAATCCGAGAGATTGATAAACGACAAGAACAGCTTCTCTCCGAAATTGATTAATCAAGAATCGACTCGGAATAGAGATGCGGAGGAGAGAAAAGTGGGCGTCGCTGTTTCCAGTAAAGAGACACCGTCAAACATTTTAAGTAACGGTTTAATTCCGGGAAATAATTTGCGTGTTAAAAGTAACGGAACTTTTCCAGTGGCAAACGTTTATAGCAAGGAGATCGACAATTATAACAGCAGAGGATATCTCAGCGTTCGTAAAAATGGTATATGGGGAAAACTTTGTTTAGATGATAATCTTAGCGAAGAGCGGCACGCGCGCCGAATTACGTGGTCCCTCGAAGACCTCGCTAAAGCTGCGTGCAAAGCCATTACGTATCAGTAAGTAACATTGTTGTTGAAATCTCTTAAGAGAAATTTTTATTTTACAGTGAATAAAGTTACTTAGAAGGGCTTTCGTTTTGCAGAGATTACGAGACGGTGGAAAGAGTGCTGGATCAAAACCCGATGCCGAAACAGTTTTACTACACTTTGTCGTACAACGACAAATCAGATCTTTCGGATAGAACAGCCTTGTCTTTCAAATCGTCCGAATGCCCAAGCGGCAAGGTCCTAAAAGTAAAATGCAAAAATTTCGAATGCGGGATAAGAACTCAGGTGGCATCGACCGCGAGGTATGTCTTCGTAAAACTTCGTACTAAACTCGAGATTAATTCCGCGCAAGACTTGAAATTAAATATTTGCAATAAACTTCTAATCTACCAAGTCATACTGCATTATAAACAACATGTAAAGTTTAACAAATAATGTATTTCATACAATAGAATTGCATATATACACGATTGCAACTTTGTAAAAAGAAAAAAAGATTAAATAATTAGGAATCGAAGAAATTTTCTCATATCATATTTTTTAGTAGAGATAAATGAATCTAGAATCATAGAAGTATCTTTCTGAAAGCAACGACTGATGTTTCAATGTTTGCTCTCAAATGTTTCAATTTTCATATCGATAAAAAGAAGAAAATAGTTAACTTTTCTTAAATAAAGAAATCGATATCTTTATATATTCAAGCGTACTCTCCGTTTTAAAGGAAATCGTTCTCTTCTCGTCATTGTAGGATTGTTGGTGGTGCAAGTAGCTCCATGGGCAACTGGCCATGGCAAATTGCCTTGTACAAAGATGGTAATTATCAATGTGGTGGTGCTTTAATTAACGATAGATGGGTTATTTCTGCAGCGCATTGCTTTTATCGGTAAGATACTCATGTTACGGTAATTTCCTTACACACAAGTGTAGCTTCAGTACAAAGATCTAATCGAAAGTATTACTCTTATCTAGCGCGCAGGATAGCTACTGGGTCGCAAGAATCGGTGCGACTCGTAGAGGAAGTTTCCGCAGCCCGCACGAACAACTCTTACGAGTAGATTACATATCGCTACACCCGGATTACATCGATAACGGATTTGTCAATGACATAGCTGTAATAAGACTCGAACGAGCGGTTAGCTTCAGCGATTACATTCGACCTGTGTGCCTCCCGAAATCACCGGTCTCCAGCGAGACTATTTGCGTGGTCACTGGCTGGGGTCAATTGAACGAGATCGGCAGAGTGTTCCGTAAGTAGAATATATCCATTTTGATGTAGGTAATCGTGACCTTCTTGTATTATAGAAGTTACATTGTGCAATATGAGTCCCGTTACTTATTAATGTTAACAGCTGACACTCTGCAAGAAATTCAAATCCCGGTCATATCAACGGAGGATTGTCGACGAAAGACTCTATTCTTGCCGCTCTATAGGATTACATCCGGTATGCTCTGTGCAGGACTAGAAAACGGCGGTAAAGATGCTTGTTTAGGAGATAGCGGAGGTCCTTTGGTATGCTTGTCTCCGGTGGAAAATCGTTATGTGCTACAAGGTATGTAGATATCTTATTGTCACTCTCATCTCGCGCAAACAAGAGTGATAGAATCATTAGCACATTGTATATTTAGTACTAAATATTTATTATTTTAGCTCGTGGACAAATCAAACTGAATGTTTAATAAAATTAATGTCCTTATTCTTTCGCATAAAAATATGAAATTATCTTTTGTGCAAGGTATAACTTCAAACGGATACGGATGCGGAAGACGAGAACGACCGGGCGTTTATACGAAAATTTATTCCTACTTGACTTACATTGATTATATCACCACGCAGAAAGATATCCAACCTTCCGTAGTGGAATTCTGCAAAGGTCATAGATGCCCTCTCGGAGAGTGTTTACCCAAATCACGTGTCTGCAATGGATTTCTGGAGTGCTCCGATGGCAGCGACGAACGAGATTGCTCCGCAATCTCGCGATAATACAAGACTGATATGTCGATATGATAATGTAAACGCGATTTATACAAGCAACGCTAGCGCGGTCCAATAAATAGGTACATAGTCTCATTGAGGAAAAACTCACACGCCCGATTGTATATACGGAAAGTATATAATGTATCTATACAAATAGAATTAAAATACAGTAATAATAAGCAGCAAAATTCGATAGAGACCGTTGCAAAACTTTCCTTCAGATTGTTCTGCAAATATATCTTCAAGAAGAGCATTTTTTAGTTTTAAACTAATTGTACATACATCGAGAAAAAATAGAAAAAAGTTCTACGATTATTTATTTAGAATTTAGAACATTGTCTCTCAATGTCGCGTTATTAATTATCATTACTTTAGTCTCTATAGATCATGTCCGTGCAGATTGGGACAAACTTGACTCGAAGCTTATGTTAACTCTGCTTTTAGATGGATACTTTAAGTTACGCTATTGGCAAGATTTGATCGAATAAAAGGAGTCTAGTCTATGATGTAAAAAGACACGACTTATCCTCTCTCACAGTAATGTACATATTTAAATTACTATGAAATTACATTTAATGTAAAACTAACATAAGAAAAGATGACAGTCAATATATATTCTTTTTGTAAAATTCACACTTTTTTTAACTTTTACTTGGACAACTAAAAGATAATTATACAATACAACAACGATGCAACAAATGATATACAACTTCACTTTATTAGCTTTATTAGTCAGATTCATCACCAGAAATTATATCCACAAGAAATAGTAAACATATCGTACGTATTGACATTTAAATAAAAGCTTTTGTAAATAATTTTACAATACTGTTATTAGATTAAAAATAGATGAAATAATTATGTATTTATTACAAATTGTGCGATACGAACAATTCCTTATGACGTCGCTGTTGTTCATTACAATGTCATCATTTAGCACTTTACTCAAGTGATTTTACTTAAGTAACATTAGTGTTAGCGTACTCTCGTTAAATGTCACACTGTTAACTTCTATTCCAGTTCTCAATTACTGATATCCCATTTGCAAATGTCACATAATACTGAACTCGACAGAGTAAGTTTAGAGGCAAAGCATATCGAACTACTGACGATGGTATCCGACACCATTTGGGAGTTATGCTCAGAGGCCTAGTATATCTGGTTCCTGATAGCTGTACATGTACAATGTTCATTTCATTCGGTGTACCAGCAAGTTCTGTGTGGCGACAGGTTTGAGCAAAACTTCTCGTACGATAAAAAATGGTGTAAATGTATAAAAGAGCGACTCGAAGACGATCAAACTTTTTGTCCATACTATGTTTAACATCATCATTATGTCCTCTTACTTTCGACCATAAAATATACAAATATCTATCCACAGAAAAGGAAAATTCCGCGATAATCCACAAACTCCGCTAGATATATTACAATTAAAGGACTTTGGCAAAAGTCAATTATCTTGATTCAAGATATCCAATTCAATGTGATTCATGTTAGCCTGACATTTTGACAATTAAAAGATTCTCAAATAGTACAGAAAGTCTCAAATGACTTTAATGAATACATTTTCACTGCTAATTACCGAATGCATCTCGTTGATGTGTACAACTTATTACACGTTCAGGAACATAGTGATATATATGATCGGAGCCAATCCGTTACACACAAGCGAGATATACAGTACTGAACCTGTTATTTTCTTTACCTCCGCACATTATTCGCAGAAGATAATAAATAATAATAATAATAATAATATTAATAAATTGATAATATCTTTGACGATCATACCTTTAATTATATTGTTAAGAAGATGCGTAGGCTATGCATATAAATAAATTCCTCGTGCTTTTAACCAAGGGAATCGACGGCCATAGTACTAAGACCGTTCTTGCTAATAGTAGTCTTAAATTGCTCCGGTACCGGATATTCGCTCTGCAACGTAATATGAATATATAGAGCTGTGAAAAATGGCAAGGTCGCGAATTGATCTGCGAATCGAATGGTAACTTACATAATCTCCATTGGGTTTGGGCACCATGACGTTCATTTCGCTAGATTTGCTGGTGATGAGTTCAACACCCAGGGATTCCGCACTTAAATACATCTGACAACCGTCCGTTTTGTCAATAGAAATTGTGGGTACTTTTCCAAGAACCTGTAAAAAAAAAGTGCATGAAGATTGTCACAGGGCAAAGTTCATATCATTACACAGACTGGCAATATATTCAGAGTGCATTTCGATAACAATTGCCAGTGCGTAAGTGCGCGGTCTTGCTTGCAAACGGTGAACCTGAACATGTATCGGTAGTGGAAGATGTTAGGAGTCTGACAGTTCTTCGAATTTCACACGCACAATTTCATCTGTATTAAAATATCACTCCAACCAACATTTCGTACATAAAAATGCCGTGGAAAGTTGGTAAGGAAATTTGCTTTCTATTCCTAACGCTGTCATGCTAGTAGATTATACACAAATAGTGTATGTCGAAATGACCTAATTATTTTCCAAATTCGAACGAATGGAAATGTTTCAGGTGGAAATTTCGAAACTGTGGCGGTAACATGTGAGACAAGTTGGAAGGAATGTGTAATCGCGGTAGCAAATTATTTATGGAGCGAGGTCGTGTCTGATGTCGTTGATTATTTAGCGAAAGAAGGAATTATATGGGTACATAATTACACACATATATTTCACGCAGTATTAGTAGTTGCTTCGAACAATTTTGTTAAAGATTTCTATCACAGAATAAAATATTTGAAACCTACAAGTTAATTTTGCATTCACAAAATTCAGAATTTTTCGGATCGCCAAATTATTAGGCTTAAGAATAACCCTCGATTATACTTCGTTTTTTAATATTTGAAGGTTTTAGCAATAGCCATCACTTCCACGATGCTTATCCGTATAAAATATTGCAAAAATATGCACACGCAGAATTCTGTGCTTAACAAACGAATACTAAATAAAGTCGGATATAAAATTCAGGATCTGGAATTGAAAATTAATGTTTTAACGTATAAAATGCAATATGGGACGTGGCCACTGCCACATCAAATCTGTAATATGAATCCAAAGTTGCGGAAGATCAGGTTGACTTTATCTAATCCGGGTGACCGAAAAAATTGGCTGAAGCACGTGCTGCTAAGGTACATAGAGAAAAGCTAAGACATTAAATTGTTAACCAACCTTCAATGAGTCAATTATAAAATACTACAGATTTTAATTTACATTTATGTTCACATAATGCTTCGTTTTAGTCCCTCATCGGAGAACAGTATATGTGCTTCTTATTCGAACGCGCTTCGTTCATCCAAAACAAAACTGAAGAATCGTTTTGACGACAAAAGACAAGAATGTGATCGACAACATGTCAAACATCGTGAATTATCAATAGCCTGCAGTAGCACTGAATCTTTGAAATCTACCAGTGATCAATCTGTGAAGTACGAAAAGTGGAAATGCATTATTCTCAATTTCACGATTAAGTTTTCCTATTAATTTTTTTTTTATCCAATTATTTACTTATTATTTATTTCATTTAATGGCGCTAGTGCATCTTTTATACAGCTAAACAAAATAACTATCGGAAATATTTTGCACTTTCTCTCAGTGGTTCCCTTTCTTACCTCCAATTCGTCTTTCTTCAAGCATTAATAGAAAACTATTAATATTCTTACTCGGAAATGCTTCCCAAGACTAAGAAAATCATATTAACATAATATTATGTCAATTATTGTAGATTTTATCTCGGTCTGTAATGTGCTAGTGAAAGTTCAGAGAAAGCGCAAAACCTTTGAGACAACGCAATCACTGAATTTAGCTTATTTCGTTAGCATATATTCACAGAGGCCAGGTACATACTCGCAAAATGCGAGGACAAAGGAAAATGGTCGCACGAAAAGCAAAGATTTCACGTTACAAGAACGAAACGTGCAGCTGATACCGTTAGATCCGAACGTGATTAATCATCAATCTTCAAGAATAATTCGTCCGTTGACACAAAGCGTTGCATGTGCGACGAACGTTAGATACAATCCATGCCAGGAATTCACAGATACCGTCTCTAAATGCAAATCATTTCTCAAGGAATTGCAATACAACGATAAACGTTTGCGTTCATCGAATTATTCGTCAGAAATGAGCGAAGTATCTTTGAAAGCCACGCACGCAGCAAAACGAGTAACCTAGTCGCCGTTAATTTAACTCAAATCGATAAGCAAAATTGTAATCATAAATTCGTTACGTTTTAGACAGTCTCGCCTGCGATAGAGAAAAGAGAGACGTCCTACGGTGCTCCCGCAGCAGCGAAAAAAGAGGAAACGAACGAGATGAAATGCGTGAAACGGATAAAAGACAATACGGCAAAAGGTACCACAGAGACGTATTGTTCGGATGAAGCGAACGCATCTAACGACGTTGTAGTTTCAAACAATCGTGAACCCTCGAGAGATTTCGTCTCAATTGTTCCAATAAAGCGAACGACGCACAATGCGCAACCCTGCCGAGAAACTTTGCACGAGGTCAGAAGAAGACTTCGGAGTTTGCATAACGTGTTGCAAACATATCAAGACACGAGTCAGCTTCCAGAAAGGCAGGAATCGGTAGGGCGGGTCGATGAAGCGGACTCATCTGTGACATTCCCGATCGTGGATATATCGAGCGAATATTTCGAGCTAAATCGCTCAGAGGGTAGTTTATCTTCCTTAGCCGAATATTCATCACGCTCGTCGAAAACGTATCAGCGTTCTAGTAAAAGTGTTACGTTGCGGAATACCTGTTCCAAAGGATTTAGTCGGCATAATATACGGGCGTCAGTTGGGAGCAAACTTCCAGCCTTTGTGACAACCGAATCGCATTTGTGTTTCCGCAACGCGACATCGGAGGATTACGAAGATGAATGCGAGAGAAGCGCGTGGGAACGGAACACCTTAGATCGCAGTAGTAACCACGAGTTAGAATCGAATCCCGAGGCTAACAAAGATGCGGAAACAGACGCCCTATTTAATGCTCGAGATGGCATATCCGAGACAATATCGGAAAGAATGTTCTATATCTTGTCACCTGAAAATAAGAGTACTCAAACCCAAAATAAGGCATCGTTAAAGAGAAGATTCGCTGCTGAAAACTTGAGCGACGAATTCGATAAAGAGGAAGAGAATGTGACAATAACCCAAAACAGCAGTCGAAATAAAATGCCTAACAGCAGGGAAGACAAATCGACAGCACTGTTGCTACAACAGGCTTTGCACTTCAAGAACGCCTTACTGTCGAGAAAGAGGTATCCGAGTGATGTAAAGCAGGGCGATATCGCGGATGAATTTCCGCCGGTGTCGAACAATAATTTTCCCCCAATGATAATAGACATCAAAGAAGAAGCGCCAGCTATCAGTAATCCTCGTGACAAAATTAATCAACGTTACATTTGTCTGGAAATGAAACAACGGCGCGACGTACTTCCTCGATCTTTGAACAAGGTAAATACATTGGCGCGTCGCGACGACAAACGAGACGCGAAGAGCCAGGATTATGTTCCCAAAACGTCTTCGGAATATTTTAGCATTACCGATCTCGCGGTTCACAATAATACTGAGATTGAGAATAACGTTGCGTTGGCGCCTCCGATTTATGAAAAAGTTATCTCTATAACGATACCAGTCAGTGTGAAGGGCCAAGGTGAGATCAACATGAATGAGAGACCGACGCAAACGAAAACCATCCTACGGGACATTCAGGCTCGTGTAAAAGAAAATTTTACAGAGAAAAAAAATGTAGCCTCCGATATCGGTAATATTGTAATCGATAAACGTCCGCCGGCGATGCTGAAACTCGAAGATCTCATATTGGAGCGCGTTAAAAATATCAGAGATTACATGGACACTTTTCTCCAAAGCCAAAATACAGCAATTTTCAAGGCACGTAGGGCGCTTCAATGTCAGGGCAAAAGCAATACTTTTCGATGTTCGGATGAAGCGAGTCATGTAGTAATATATAATCGATCGGCTGGACCGTCTAGCTGTAACAGCACCGAACAAGTCATTAATTCTTCAAAAAATTCCTCAGATTTTTTAACACACGAATGGCCGAATTCCATACAGGAATACAAACAGGAAACAGATGATGTCTTGAAATGCTCCTCCGACATGTACTTAAAGAGAAACCCAGGAATGTTCGCGCTTACTCCTATTAAGAATAAATTCTCCAACGAGACGCGACAATTAGAAGCAACTACAAAACTAGAAAGGGAAGAGGCTGAGCTGTCTCTTCTAACATATTCTCACGAAAGCGACTCAAAATCTACACACGATATAACGAATTTCTTCACGCCTCGCTGTGAAGAACTTATGCGAAATGTGGAAAATGATAAAATAGATAAAGGAACGACAGTTGACGTAAATATGAATTTCGATAAACGTAGTGGGCAGACGCAGATCACTGAAAGTAAGCCATCAACAATATCATATTTTCCACTCAATGTTGCAAACGCCAACACAAAAGTTATTCACGTAGCACGCGATGAGTACCCGGCAAAATCTAATTGCAACTCGATCTCCCATAGTAATTCGTATTTCACCGACGAGGAGATGATGAGTGATGTGAAAATGGATAATGCATCTGCCAAATCTACGTCGAACACGTCGAAACATTCGCATGCAAAGTCGAACGCGCAGAAAGAAAAACAACAAAGTGTTATTAAACGACAAATATCCGCCGATGAAGGCCCGGATGCAAATACAGCGAAGCCAAGTAAATTACCATCAGATAACGAATATTCTAATTTGACGACGCTTATTAACTCAAGTCTCATTCTTGACAAATCGGAACATGATTATTCGACAAACGCGAAAGCACCGTCTCCTTTAACAATGTTAAAAGAAAACGATTTCATCTTTGAACCCGGTGCTTCTTTTCTACCTTTCTCATCGGATAAAGAGAATAAAACATTAAACGACGACGGTGTTTCATCGAGTAAATTCAAACATGATAAAACGAAAAACGATGTAAATACCGTACATTTGTCGCCGCGAATGGAACGTTATACCGTTACGGAATCATGCCCGACGTATTCCCGACAAATTAAAGCCAAAAGCGACATATCTTTAGTAGCTGGTAGGAAAAAAGACTTGAAAGCCGTCTTGCACCAAAAAAAATCACACTCATTTTTGATGCGCCATAATACCGTAGAATACATCAGCGGTGCGTTACATCAGCCCTACGCGAAATTGTTCAACGATAAAAACAAATGTATAAAAAATAAGTTGCGACTCGCAACTCAATCAAAGTCTATCATATCGCCACGAAGGGTGTCCACCAAATCTTGCATACCGATCTTAAGAAATCGCTTAGAATCGCCTCACCGAATGGAATGTCAAGCGCAGGCGAGAAGTCCTACGAGAAATCCATTGACTATGTTATGCGTAGAAAAGACTCGTACGAGAGTTCACAGGACAGACGAGGAAATTGCCCGAAGTGACAACGTTTCGATGAACAAGCATTTGGAGACTGCATCGAATTTAGCTAAATTAGATACAGGAAAGGACACACTCGATAAAAAATTGGATAGACCTGAGAATATAATGTGCAGAAATAGTGAGCAGAAAAGTTCGGGAGTGTTGCCTAGTGATCAAAATGTAGAATCCCTGGCAACTGATAAGAATCATTCAGATACGAGAGATATATGTGACAGTAAATCAGATACGAGCATAATACAACATATAGAAAGGATTGCTTCTAAAGAATTAGTTGTTATTTCTATTATGACAAATGATGGCCTGCGAAAGAAATACCCGGCGGATCTGTTTATTCTAAACACGAAGAATATCAGTCCCACGTCAGATTTGTTAATACATAAAAATAAATTATGGAGTATCACCGTTGAAAAAACAGAAAAGGAAGTCACGGCAAGACCTTCCATTACAGATACATGTACATCAACGTCAAGTTTACAATGAATGAACTGAGACGTATAACTTGTCTTATCCATGTAAATATTTTTAATATTTTTATTTGTCGGATTCTTTTATATAAGACTGCATTTTTTCTAAATAAATCTTCTTTTACACTTGCATGTTGTGTTACACATAGAAAGATCTTTCTAAAATCTAAATTATCTGTAAGATTTTTATTCTAAAATTAAAAAGTATCGGAAAGAATGATTTCTCTTCGTAGAAAAAAAACACAATTTATTATATCGGCGTCTGGCAATGTTATCTACGCTTTACGTATCAACGTGATTTCGATATCTAATAGTCTTAGTTGCCATTAAAGAACAAGTGGCCTAATGTGCACACTAATAAAAGGAACTATTGTATTTACACATACCTGCATTTGTACGCTTTGACAATTGACAAATTCAATACTGGACACCAGGGAATCGAATACGACAGACGATTTGCGGCAGGAATCCATAACAACGGAATTTACTTTGCCTTTGACAGTAAGTGTGCTATCTTGGCACCGAAACACATAAACCACATTATTCATCTCTGCGTTATCGATTACCAAGTTCTCGCCCCTGTGATACTCCTGTGAAAAATGTCATACTTTTAATATAATAACACATTATAATGTAACGTGTATAGTAGTATGCATATTTAAATATTTTTCTTTCATTCTCTTATCGTACCACGAGCCATTTTTTGCCATCTCTAGTAAACACGGGCGGCTTGTCAATAGGCGCGCTCGCCGACAACACATTTTTCATCGGTAGCGCGTTGACGTTCGGTGCCTTAAACGGTGCGGGCCCGGATCTCAAGGCGGGATTTTTATGCGTTTGCATATCTGAGGTGACTTTTTTTAAACCTGCAATACAAATATCGGATATCGCGTACAATGCCTCCCAGCATGGATTACAAAAGAACTACGAAGCGTATTTACTTTTCGTGATATCTTCTCCTCGATTAATCTGAGCAAAAAGGGCGCTTCTATCATCATTCACCATAAGTGGGATATCACCAATCGGCATCGAGGGTGGCGGTGGGGGCGGTACACCCGCAAGTGAGCCACCCTTTCCCCACACTAAACCCGTCGTATGATGCTGACGAACGTACTGTTGCAAGTCGGTCAATGTTTGCACCCACGCTTTACACCAGTCTATGTGTATTTTGTTTCTATAAATAGGAGCAGCAGCTTTAGCCTCGCTTTCGGATAAATTACGAAGAAAAATGATGGGCTTCAGGAAGAGCTTACTTTTCTTTCCAATCTTTCAATACGCGATTGGTGTAAAATTGACCGGCGTCATTCATTTCCTTTACGTAGGGAGCTGGCGTAGGGGACACGGCGACCCATCCCAAGGCTGGGATACTTTCACTAATTGCCGACAGGTGATTAAAGAACGGAGATCCGCGATTCTTCTCGCGAAACTCTTGAATCTGTTGTATCTGCATGGACATAGGCGCAAATAAAGATACTTGTTCGGACTGATTCGTCGGTGCGGAACGGCTCGCCGCCATTTGTACAAACTGAAGCTGAATCCTGAAATTAATTACAATTATATGTAACAATTTATTCGATATATACGTGCATCTACTTATTCGATTTCAATTAAAATGCCACTTACTGAAAAGCCTTCTCCACAAGCTGACTGTGAGCGGCTACATCGCCGCCGATCTTTTGACTTAATTGTAGATACTCTTTGACTGGCCCAGCTAGAAAATCCTGGTATCCGGCGAGCGACATGTTTGTAAGTGGATCCGGAACGGTTTCCTGCTTCGGCGATGGAGACAAATTACTTCCTGACGACGCAGACCTCTTCGGGGAAGGTGTGCTCGTTTGTACAGCGGTGTCTTGTGTCTTAACTACAAAGTGCACGTTCTCGAGTCGTCTCGTTACGTTTTCCAATCGGTTCACCAGCTCTTCCAGGTGCTCTTCTTTATCAGTAGTCTCGCAACCTGCAATTTGTTTTACAAAAAAATGTGTAAACCTTCGAACACACGGACTGTGACAATAGGAAAAAAGGATTGTTCGTTCGCTTGTGTTTAAAAATCGTGATAAAATAAAACTGATAAACAAATGACGAACGTAAAGAGGAAATGTAAACTTTATCCCACAGGGAACACACTCGGAAACATCCGGAAAACTCAGATGCTTGGAATGCTTCACGGAGTACTTGGAACGCTAAATATAGGATACGCTTATAAATAGTTACGTTAGTATAACATTATCAATTATATAGCGTTAAACACAGGTAAGTGTGTATAGGTATGTATCGATAAAATTATTTATATTAAACATACACGCGCATGTATATATACACACAGTCTGTTGGAAAAACGCGACCGTAACTTTGAAAATTATAATAATAACAAAATACACATAGTACTGGATTGCATTTAAGTCCTAATTATAAACGAATAATAGTCGCCGTCGTTATCGATAATTGCGATTTACGAGATTCTATTTTCTACGAATTCTATTTTGACTCTACTTTTTTTTTAAGAAAACACGACTTTTTAAACAAAACCGTTGAATCGGTCTGCTCGACACTTAAATGCATACCGTGGCGTTTTATCTTTACAATAAATTAAACATTTTCGATAAAATTATCAAGCAAAAGAGAAGGCCACTCGCGACGTTATCTCCTCTTTCCATAAAAATGATTTCGATTATAAAATGTATCCCTTAAAGATGTTCTCTTGGAAAAATATAAAATAAGTTAAGTTTCGTTCTATAGCGCGTCGTAGATGAAAATTTACTAACGCAAATACCACGCTAATGAAATTCGCATAAATTATGCCAATCACGATCTTCCTTAAGAAGCAGTCTATACATACATTTTGTTCGTTTTACTTTTTTCTCGTCAGAATGTTACCTAGATTCCGAAGAATATTGCAATTGTCCTATTATGAGCGACGATGCGGCTACTAGACTTTCCGAAAATTGGCAAGAAACTGAAAGACACCTCAAATGAGATGACTTTCCGTCCGACGCGAGAATACTCCAGACTATTATTAGCGGATCCGCCAACATCGTGGAGTTATAGTCCTATCCACATAAATACGCTCGGCAAATGATTCATAATGTAACACAATCGCAATGATATTACGCGTAGCGCAAAGAGACTCAGTCATACCTAAAGATATGTGAAATTACGCGGAAATCGAAAGCGATACCGTAATCGCTTTGCATATACCGCGGATTATAAGATTAATTTTTATCTCCTTCCTGTTTTTTATCATTTTGAAATACACAACAGAACAATCGTGCGCGCGTAATCGGGGCCGGGAATCAACAATTTTTCGCTTGCCTATATATTTAATGATACTTATTTAACAGTCGTCGCCAATCTTGCGTATATAACGGCATTGCGCTTACAGCTTGTAGCTTTCCACGAGTGGTTGTATAAAATGAACGCATACGCTAATATAAACGAGAGATTGCAAAACCACAGCGAGAGATTTCGCGGGGTGGAGTAACGCGCTGGGGCCGCCCAAGCTCCAGAACTAACATCTCGTTAAAAAGAACGGCTGCGTTCAGCAGAAAAGGCTGCCCTGCAACTGCTGCAAAAATCTTGACCCTGACTGACGTGTGCTCTTGATCTTGGCCGAATCTAAGAGCGTACTCCAATCAGACTCGCAAATTTGACAACAGTCGCAAAGCAGCCTTCACCGCTGAACGCGGCCAAGAACGCAAGGCCGCTGGAAGGTTTCTGAGCGAGTCCTAACCGGTGTGCACCATCGGTCCTAGCGGGTCGAATCTCACTCGGTGCTCCGTCGAGTTCTGCGCGGCTTGCAACAGATCGGAGAAGAATCTGTGCCGCCTTAAAGCTAACTCGTCGCGGGCGACGGGCGTCGCCGGCGGTTCCTGCATGCCGCTGCATCCACCCGAGACATACTCGCCGTCGTCTTCCTCCGACAGCCAGCGCGGGATCGAGGTGGCAACTGCGGAAACGACAGACAACACGTCGGGCTTTAACTCTTCAAGAGGCATTTTGTTCTCCAAGAGTCTCACGGCCGCACGTGGCCCGCTCTCTGCCCCGCCCATCGGGTTTAAGTTAAGTGCGCCCGTGCGTTATACGATTGACAAAACGACAAGTGTCAGATCACCCGCGGATTTATTGTTACAAATCGCATGTTCTTTCTGCTGAACGACGCGAACGCTAGAATATGGGTCGGTTCGCCAACAGCTCGGTGTACAAAACACAGTAGGATTTATGTGCCGCATTTTATTTCCAATTGCGAGCACGCAATTTTACTTAGCGATCAAAATAACGTTGTGCTATTTTGCAGAAACGATGTTTGAAATTGCAAATTCAGTGGAACGTGTATCAATATTGATATTTAATTATTCATATTTATTGTGCCTGCGTGCGCACAAAATACCGGGGAATAGTATATAATTTTTATTTAGCGTGTATTTCCCCAAATAAATTTTATAATAAGTATTAACGCGCGTGGAAACGCAATTATTAATATTTCAGTAATTCAAATTACGAAAATACCAAATAAACGTGATTAAATGTATTGCAACGTTTAATATACATTTAAATTTAAAGTAAATAGAATAAACTCTTGAATAAATTCTTCATTGGAGGGAGAGGCGGAATCTCTGTGGATAAAGTTAGTAATTTTTCAGACGTGACGATGCGTTTCGTGAAATAACTGCAAATAAAAATGGAGGAATGTTCGCGCAATAATACAGAACGAAAGTCTCTAATAAAGAAGCTCGCCGCTCAATTCATGCACCATTCCCGGCAAGTTGCAATTCTACAAGTGCGAAATGATAAAATACTAATGTCAAACATCGAAACGTGAAATGATTAAACAATATCCTGATATTAACGATGACCCATATGTAGCGCTGATCGTACAAGCTAATCGGTGACCTGGACTCACGAGGATCGCAACCTAAGGGGATCCCGAATATACCTGGTGGCGCCTTCTTGATATCGTTTTCGCCCTCGAATACCGAGTCGTCGCCCTCGTCCTCCGGCCCGTCATCGATCGTCCTTTCTATATATCCCGATGCGTCGTAGAGATTCGTTTTGACGGGACCAACGACAACAGGGTCAATCTCCTCCGTCCAATCCCCTCCGTCTTCGGCGACGCCGTCGAGATTGCTGTCGTCCTTACGGACGATTCGGTCGCCGGTTTCTTCGCCGGCTTCTTCAACCGTGTCCTTCGTCGAGGTCGAACTCGAGCTCTCCTCAACGTCAGCGCTTCCGTTCTGCGGAGTTCCACAGTACGGGCTTCTCGTCGCGGAATTGGTGCGTACCAGGGTGAAATCTCGCGAGACATCTTTGTCCTCCAGCGAGGCATCTTTGTCCTCCAGCGAGGCATCCCTATCCTCCAACGAGGCATCCTTAGCCTCTAGCGAGGTTTCCTTATCCTCCAACAAGGCATCATTATCCTCCAGCGAGACATCCTT